AAATTCTCAAAGATAATTTAAACTCATCATCATTAAAACTCAGTAAACATTACCAACCTTTTCGTAAAAAAACGCCTCCAGTCTGGCTTGGCCAGTTCGTTTCTTCGTGATTGATTCCAGAGCGAACAATTCATTGAAAAACTTTTGCGAACAATAGTCCGCCTAAGCTACAGGAATTTATACAACTCAGACTCTCATTCCAGACATATTGAAAAACTGCTACAAGTATAATACTACTCCACCAGTTTTAAAATTCGTCTGGATTACGAGTCTATTGCACAAATTCCTGCAGCTTAGGGGAGAGATGAAATTTTTGCGATGCTTGCTTGTTTGTTTTTTCAAGTCGATCGATCAAAAATTTGTTGTCATTCATCGCTGTCTTGTCAACGAACAGTATTGTGGTTTTTAATCAAGGTTTCGTTGGTGAAACTGGAGATAAATTATAGCTAATGTATCATTCGAGGCCTGAAGAAGGAAGGCCAATCCTATACTAAGCTTGGCCTCGGGCTAGGCCTAAAGCTAGGCCTAATTCAGTGGTTTGTTTTTTTTAAAACCAACAAAATTTTACTGGTCGGCCGTTTATTTTTACCGGTAAAATTGACGGCTAAACCGGCGTCGGGAGAACACTGCTATAGAGGGCAGCATAGCTATAAAAAATTATCATGAAAGCTATACAGGGCATACGTACGACGCCGCTCGCTATAAAGTATGGACAAGGAGGGCGTTGTCACGACGCCATACGACTGGAAAGGGTTAACTGTCTCAGCAATCAGTTTATTACATGAAAAATATCAAAAACTACTGAAAGGATACAAAGGGCACATTGGCGGAATTGGCAAGAAAGTGAGTAACTGCTAATTGACAATTGGCCAACCATGAACATAGTAACATCAGGAGGCCTAGTCTTGTCTGCACTTTAGCGGTGGGCTGGAATTGAAGATAAAGTAATCGGTTAATATACAATGGATGATACAAAATACTGTGTAGCACGTGCGTAACTAAGGTTTTTGGCGTCTGAGGCAAAATTAAAAAAGGCGCTCCTTTCCAGCTCTGATCTTTGTTCTGAGTTTGTTGTGCTTGTTAATTGGTAAAAAACATTAAATATTTTTGTTATTTTAAAATTTTATAAATATTTTGTCCAGGCTCATTTTGGCACCCCATTTAGTTTAGTGCCCTGGGCATGTGTCCTGTCTACAGACCTGTAGTCTGTGGTCGGTTTGCTAGTTATCGCTTTTTTCTTCTTAGGTAAAATGCATTCTTTTCAAAACACCAAGATCACATCATTAATATTAAACATACATACCTACTATACATAGTAATCTCTACTATACTATACTATACTTTAGACTATGCTATATACAGTATTGCTATATAAAATGGATAGATAACATACATGTTTGACTGAGAATAACTGACAGAAAACTAGACAGATATACAAAGGGTAATGAACATTATATTTACCTGTGATAGCATATTTGTGCATTGCTGTAACAATGACACGGACGGGTTTCCGGGGCCAGTAGCAAGCTGGACTCGCAGCAGTTGTTCTTTCTGGCTGGCATTGTCCTTCAAGGCATGTGCTAGAGCGACCGACGCGCACCAATTTGAGACCGAATCCTGGCTGAATAACCCACCACATAGAAGCTGGCCAGCTGTAATAGCAGAAGCTGTTCCAAAATGCAATAATACAACTTATATGAAACAGAGTAGCAATGTAACAGTACTTAAAAATTAGGGGGGAAAATGAAAGGTTTGTTCTTATAATATACCCAAATCAGCTCTAATTATTACTACCCTAAATTACCCTAAGAGTAATAATATAATAACTTTCATTGTACCTTGCATCCTTTGTCTAAGATGGCACTAATTAATCATCCATTAATATAACAATTAATATAATATAAGTCGATCGATAAGTTGGTATATATTTATCAGAACACTCACTTAAGCAGACAAGGAGCATCAGAAAACCAACTTAAAATTTTGCAGTTAACTGCAGTAATTGATTTGTATTGCAGTACTTGCGCTAATATACTTCACCACATTGGCATAGGTTGGCACCCGAAAGGCTGATGCAGTGTAATAAAATTCTTTACTTGCATGTCCGCAATTCCGTAGTATTCTCTTGAACACAATGTATATGTATGGATGCACTTGGTGAAAAAGTCCGACAATATATGATTCCTTTATTTTACCAATTTTTTTTCACATGAATTTTTTTTAGCTAGTACTTCCGTTTTTCTTATTTACAGAACCTTCGGCCCAATGTTTAATTATAAAGGCATTATAATAATATCATTTCAATATTAACATAATTATAAGTACAATAGCTGACTTACCATCTGCAGTGGCAGGTAAGAGAGTTGATATAATCTGCTCCTGTCCAACCTCATTCTTGTACAAGAAACACTGAAAACAGTAAAGCACAGCACAACGGAGAACAAATGGTTGCTTCTCATTCACCATTGACATAACAAGCACAACAATTGCAGGCCTGAAAAATGTAAATCACATTCATTAAATTATATGTCCAAGTATAAAAAAATATACATTTTCTGCCTGTATCAATAATCAATGGAAATTTAATTCATTCAACAAATTATATATTCAATGATATTTAATGAGGGGCTCTTACCACAAAGCCGACTCAAAGAGGCCCTGAATCAGTACATACAAATATATAAAAGGAAGGTAAATACAAAAATACTATGAGAAAAATATTTTAAAAATCTCAATAAATTACATAAGATTTTAAAATGTGAACATTAATAATTATTTCATTAATCATGACATACACAAATTTAAACATCCTGTGCTCAACATTATTGTGATGAGATTAACGTAAAAAATGTTAAGTATCACATCAAGTAGAGTTCGGGTCTGGTAAGGAGCAGTCGCCACTCTGGAGATGGTGTTAGTAAATTAACATTAAACTTGTCCGTAAAATAGTAAGTCATAAAATGGTTTGATAAAAAAATCCAAAAATGCCCTATCATTATCTACAAACTACAAAAACAGTATTTTGTTTGAGGGCACTGTTTACTGGTAGAGAGTAGTTGCCACTCTGGAGATGATGTTTAGTGGAATATTAAACATCAAAATTGTCTTGGTCATTATTGGTTTGTTAAAAATATAAAAAATCCATTTCATTTCTACAAACTACAAGAACAAACTGTTTGAGGGCACTGCTTATTTTTAAGGTTATCATTATTTGTATAGGTATACTGTAGTATATTTGAGAATTTGCATACCTCGGTGGTGTTGAGGGAGCACTAACTGATGCGAAGAACTCCTGGTTAACTTTTGAACCCCTGATAACCTCTGACACAGTATTGATTGTCTGTAAAAATAGAAACGATAAATTTTATATAAATTTATTCAACCATAGCAAAGATTAAATGTTGAAAAAAGCCAAAAATCAATAAATATTCAATAATTTAATGTGTGATTTACTGTATCATTAATATATGCTTGTGTGCATAGCAGAAAATCTATTTACTACCTAGAAAAAAAGAAATCATTAAGGTCCTATCATACTATTTTTATCATTTTACTGTTTACTAATATCTAAGTAATAAAATTAGTTTCTTTTTTAGATTATATCATGTGGTTTTATCGCCGGATGTTACCAAATTATGAGACACAGCCACAAAAGTTATTTTTCCTGATCATTCTGCTGATGACAGTCAGGGCAATCAACCAGGGATATTACCTCAAAAACCATATTCCTATACATGGTGTAGTGAAAGTTTCATGATTTTCCTAATATTTATTTTACTTATATGCCATGAAATACCAGTGTTCTCCCAACTGAAACATTTCTACTGGCAAATTTGTCCATAAAATTTCAGCTATGAACGTAGAGTGAGGTGTTATCACTTTTGAGTGAGGTTTAATGACATGAAAAAGACATGAAAAAAACAACACATATAGTCATACTGTAGCCTAGGTATACAATGTAATGATGTTCATTTATTGAAAGAAGGCCAGCCTAGACTACATAAGCCTAATCAGTGGTTTTATTATTTTACAGACTCAAGATTTTTACTGATTGGCCAGTTATTTTTACCAGTAAAATTGATGGCTAAAACAGCTTCGGGAGAATACTGAATACCTGCACTTAAGGCTAAAACATGGCAGATCTACTAAACTTATTAAGGAATTTGATAAAGGACACACATAAGCCATCAATTGACAGGTCACTGTGTGTACAGTAAATACCTGGATAAGTGCCGCAGTGCAATAACATTTTTGAAAGTATCTGTACGGCACTTATTCAAGAGCGGCGCTTATTAAAAAAATATTGGCATGGCGCTTTCATGCTCGTTTCCATGTTACCTATCTCACTTATTCCCATCCCGATTTCCATAGTTCTGTAGGCCTATCATAGGCCCTACATCATCGTAAATAGACATTAATAAAGGTATGATTTTGTCTTCATTGTGTTATTTATTCATGAACACTGTATAATGTAATGAAAACCCTGTTTCTCGAAGTGTTTTAATGCACACAGGGTAAAGTATATACTTTGATTAACCACCGCTAAACAAGTTATAAAAAAGTCTTATCATACCTCAGTTAGGATATCTGCAGGCACGCCGCTTGCCATCAGAATGGTGCAAAGTTGCTTCAGCAAGCCGCACTGGTTGATTACCTTCTGACACGACGCTGTTGCCTGCTGTGGGTTGCTAGGAGACACTAATGTCCGAACGACCTGCAGCATTGAGTTCACATTGTTGACCTTCTGAGCTGACCAACCAACATCTAAACTCTTAGGTTCATTGTTTTGGAGGTCAAAAAAGGGGGCCAATTTTTGCACATACCTGCAAAAGAAATGAATAAGGAATGCTATTTTATCTTATAAATTAAAATGTTATGGATCATTACTTTATTAAGAACTAAATGTTAAAATCAAAATACTAATTCTATGAGTCTATAATTATAATGATTCTATCTCTCTTTATATGCCTTTTTCAAGAAAATACTAAGTATTTATAAGTCACTTAAGAAAAAACATAATAATAGGCAAATTAGAAAAACCAAAAAATCGCCTAAAAGCTAAAAGTTTGGTTTAACAATAATGATTCTATAGTGATATTAATATCTGAATTAGCACAGCTTTCCAATGTTAATTATAACATTATGATTAGAAAAATTATAAAAATATAATCAATATGAAATATTGTATTTAGTGGAATAAATGCCTAACTTTGAATAAATGCACCCTTCACAGCCTCATTTGGAATAAATTCCTCCCTAAATAAACTCCTCCTAAACAACACTTCTCAAGGGGCATTTATTCGATTAAATGTGGTATGTATTTTCTAAATAACTTTTAGTATTACCTTCCTTCTTTAAAAAATGTCTGATTTGAACTGTTTTTCTTCAATAAATTAAGTAATAAGAGTAGGCAATCTTCAACAACAATACCACCCTCGCTCCCTCCTTCCTCTGAGATAATTTCAAGAAGCTTCTCAAATGCATTCTCAAAAGCTACTATTTTTTGAATATTTGCATTATTTTTAGTCAACTGAATCAGCAAAAGAAGTCCCTGAGAATTGATAAAATAATAAAAACAATCATTTATTTAATCATTTTATAAAACTATTAAACATATTTATCGATCCAACAGGCATAGCTAATCGTTACAATTAACATACTGTAGTAAAACTTGAATGACACAACAGTCATTAGGAAATAAATAACTTATAAGAAACATTCAATGAAATATAGTAGTTTGTATGAGTTGAGTTACTGTAGTAGCTAATATATGCCTAGTTGCTTGGCAAGAATTGACAATGTATATGGCGAAGACAAAATTCATTTATCTACAATTAACAGCAATTATTAGAAAAAGAATTTAGGAATTTCAAAAAAGGCATCAATGTTTACTTCAATAGGAATATATCTCTATGATTTAATTTGAATGTCTATGTTTTTATGTATTTACTTACATCGTTTCTTATCACCTCACGACTATCTGACAACAGATCCATTAGTTTGGACACGCCCATTGGACTTACAAGTACACATTGCTGTACTTGGGTTGACCTGTGCACCGTCAAAGCAGTTAAAAGCTTCACAGCTGGCCATCGCACTTTGAAATCAAATTCCTGAAGTCAAAATAAAAAGAAGACCATTAATACTTTATTAAAATCCCAATGCTAACATTAAAAAAGACAATCAATAAAAACTTGTATGTGTGTTAAACGAAATATAGGCCTTTCTTTTTATTTTTAAAATAAATTCCTCTCACCCATGCATCCTGGATGAAATATTTATCTTCATTATTATTTTAGTGCCCTTTAATTTTACATGACATATTTTAGGCTTCTCATTGAAAATTGTAAAAAAAAAAAGAAACAAAAACAGAATTTTCAGTTTTTTTTTAAGGGATGGGGGGTGTTTTGGTAAATATTCAATAACGCACCACTAGTAGGTCCAAGATAAGTGTGACATTTTCAGGTTTCTTGATGAAAATTTCTGTAAACTGCTCTCCAATATGAGATTCATCTGCCTTCTTTACTTCACCATTTGATAGTTCATCTACAAAACAAAAATAAATTTTACAGCAATGATGGCGCCAGTGAGAAGGCTGGGGTGAACTTCGACCTCTATTGGGGAAGTCTCGCCGGGCACCCGGGGCCCCTGATCCAGAAATTTCTGGGGCGCCACTGGTTTACAAAACAAAGTATTGTCTTTTTGTAATTTTTAACCTGTTATGTACACTTTTGGAGCAAAATAAAAATTCTGACTTTACCACTCACTTGGTGCAGAAACACAAGAGGTTTGAATTACAAAGACACTATATATTTCAAAGAATTTATTTTTAAATTTTGATATTATTATTCTTATATCAAAGAACTACTCCATATTAAACAATCATGTTTTTGTACATTAAAAAAAAAAGACAACATAGGAAAGAACATGCATACATTGGTAAAACATATGTGTTGGATGAATGATGATAATCGAAAAGGGCAAAAAAGCCAAGCTATTAAGATCCTGATAAAATGAAACTATCCCCCTCCACCCACAAGAGGTACAATCCCAGTATTTCCAAGTCTCTGTATCTGTCAGTGCCTTTAATGTACCTTCATCTTCATCAACTGAATTGGATATAGTGTTATGTAACGTATCCAATGCGTATCCAACTATCTCTGCGTCTGATCTGTCATTCTGTAACACATGGATCAATATTTCCATAGACTGAGTTCCAACCTCCAAACGGAAAGTCTGTAGAATAAATACATTACTATAAGTTATGTAAATAAATATATGGTTGTAATCCGTATGCATTATTACAATATAATTTCAAGAGCTATATTGCAATCCTATGTTTAATATACTGAGCTGTTGGTAAATATTAATACAGATCAACTACAGTAAAGACCTCTTTTGGGACCAGCTCTCCATGGTTTTAACATCCTCAGACTGTAATTAGCAAAATAATAATAAGAAAATGGTAAAAAATTCTTGTTTCTTCAGGACAGCAGAAAAGTTATTTGGAGATCTGTACTTAGAGGGAGAGATCTAACGTGTATTCGTACCTTTACTTTTTAGCGTAATAAAACAAAATCTAATATTAAATACTGCACTGGGACATCTTAGTTTCTATCAATAGATAATATTTTTGTATGTTTGAAATACAAAGGTAGATGGTACACCAAACTTAGGTACGGTCTAAACAACTATGGGTACAAGATAGTCAAAATTAGGTGTACGAGTTAACCAAAATTTGGGTACGAGTTGTGGGTACGAGTTGGCATGAGTACAAGTTAGCTTGTACTGTATATTAAGTGAATAAAAAGTATAGCCGCGTTAGTCTGTACAGTATTCTGTATATTAAGTGATTATAACAAATCTCTATTTAAAAAAAAAAAAACCCAGCAAAACACACACCATTTTACGAAACAGTTAAAGTCAGCCTGTCCAGTACTTAATACTTACCTTTGATAGCGCTTTTAATGCACGGACAGCATCTCTGCGGTCATCTAGCAAAGTAGATGACTGGACTCTATCGCATAACTTTGCAACCTGTAACAGGAAAAAAAGAAATTGCAAATAAACCATTTCGTAGTTTGAACTACGCATGCCTATCAAGGCCAATCGACATACTGTAAAGAAACTATATCAAACAAAACAGGTTTATGAACGTTGACTGATGCAGGGGTGGCGCAAGGAATTCAACGATGGGGAGTCCGACTTCCTCGATAGCAGGAGGAAACATGTCCTCGACGAAAAGAGTGGGCGTGGTAGGGCGTCGCTCAAAATCTCTCGAAAGTGTTCCACCGGAGGGGAGGGCGAAGCCTCCAAAAAATTCGACAATCTAGGGGTTTTAAAGGATTATTAAATTAATTTTAGAGTCTACTAACATGTAGACAATACACACACATTTTACTTCTCCCTGACTGGAGCCCTGGTCCCCATCCCCGCTAGCACCACCCCTGGACTGACCGTGGATATGTTCATACTGTACGCAGTTCAGACAACGAAATGGCTTACTATATATGCCCTCACATACTAGCTGTCTGTAATGTGCTATGTAATTTTATGTTTTTCAATGAAAACACAATCCCATGGATTGTGAGGAAGCAGTGGAGGAAAAATTTAAGTTGGGGGGAGGGAGGGGGAAACACAAAAGTGAAGTGGGGCTTGATGATTTATTGAGTTTGAGGGCCACCAGCTCGCAAAATAAGGTGTTATGAGGTGATATTCTTTACCTAGCATAATTTTTTGGATTCAAACATTTTCAAGGGGGCTGGGGGAGCGTGGGAAACTGGGCTGGATGAAAGGCGAGTTTTTTTGGTCACGAGGGTGAACACCTTTCTCAGATATGCAATCAATTGCACCTTGACTGAATATCAGATCTGTCAGTGTCAAGTATCAACGTAGAAGTAGATGGTTGTTATGGTTATAGATAGGCTAGCCTACAGCAGATTCTACAGACACTGTACTGTAGCGGTATCTGGCCGATGTCGAAGTCAGTGGGATGAATACAGATCATTTCAGTCGCACTTTGTTTCGTTCGCACCTCCTTTCGGTCACGCTTCATTTCGGTCGCGGTTTGTTTTCAACAAATATATGGAGCGCAAATGGAGTTGCGAAAATGCCAAATTTAATATAACTAGGCCTAATTTCATTGCGAGTTCGTCAACAGGCCCGTAGCCAGGTCATTTCTGGGCGTGGGGTCCAGAGGCTTGCCCAAGGGCCCTGGTGGGGTCGGGGCGAAGCCCCTGAAGCCAGAGCAGTTTTTGTGTTTAATGGGTCTATATAATGTTATAAAAGCAGTTATGTTTTCAAAAAGATCTATGTAATAGAAAGGTGGCAATATAATATAATTAGAAAATATTTCGCGAGTGGATTTCCTGTACGATTAAAACTCGTAACGGTACTGCATCGTGAGTGGATTTCCCGTACGACTAAACATCGTAACGGTACTCGGTTTGGTCTACAGGAGTTCGTGCTTTAAACAGGTCATTCCATTCATAGAAGAAGCCTTTTCATGGAGAAAGTGTACCTTTTAGCAAAGGTTTTTTTAGGTCGAAACTAACTCCGGCTATATAAAAATTGATTAGAATATTGAAAATTTTATTCGTGTTAATGAATAGATAAAGATTACTAGGCCTAATATGTCCATTTTTATTGATCTAATCTACGTGTATTTACTTTCATAGTTTATATTTAAATATTTAAAATTGTTTATAAATTTAATTAAAATACTGTACTATATGAAATAATGTAATCATTAAAATTTATGATAATAATTGATATTTAAATAAAGCAAAAGATTGAACCATGTTAAATACAGACACAAAGTATACATAAACCTATTTCTAGATTACAGAAAATATGTAAATCTGTATTAAAATGATATAAATTTATATATATACATAGAAATATTATGGTAAATATGTATTTAGTATAACAAATTAAATTTAAACGAAAATATGGAAGAAGCAGAGAAAGAAAGAAGAATAGGAAAAAATTGAAAATGAACAATAATAATCATTTTTTCATTATTGCATCACGTTTTTGTGAAAATACCCATCTTAAAGGACTATCTGTCGTTTTCTTCTTTGCCGCAGTGGACGAAAAAAGTCGGTTATTCTACGTTTCGTAATTCTTTTTCACCAAAAATTAACAATCGTTTTGACGCACTCCGTTCTGTTGTGTGTGTGTCTGCTGTTGAAAACAACCTTCCTAATTTTGTGACTGGCTATGATGACTGAGATGGACTGGGATGGAAAAAAGGAGTCAAT